CTCATAGCAGGAGTATAATGGACCAGGCGAGAAAATAACAAAAATAATGAACAACCATATACCAGAAACATTTTGGAGGGGTGGAGTGGGGAATGGGATCAAAAACGGGGGGGTGGGGAGGGAAGTGCATGGGATTATGGTGATGGCACACGGGTGACTTGGTGATGGGAAACCCGCGGGGATTACAACTGAGATGGAAAAAAAAAAAGTACAAAAGGATGTAAAAATAAACTGTTATAAAATAAAAAATAAATAAAAACTAAAAAAACGAGAACCAAGCATTACTCTCCACTAGCTCTTCAGGTCATATTTAAAATGAGGGACTGGTGGAGAACCATATTATTAAGGGTTTCTCCTGGAGCTAACAATACAACAGCAATGTTCTAAACGAGGCAGCAGTTGGGCTGATTTGGTCTGAAAAACTGCATCTGAGACAGATTTGAAGTTGGTCAAAGGAGATTGTGTCTTTGAGATATTCCGAGACCAGTTAAATTGTGACTTGGAAGGGCCCATCAGTCGGTCTCTGAGCACCCATGTATGTCACCAAGGAGAAGCACTAGCCACAGCCCTGCACGGGCCCAGCAAGATGCGCCACCCATGCCCAGCACTTCTGCCAATTCTACCTTCATCGGTTCCGTTCATGATGGAAACACAGTCATCCCCCACGAGGAAAGGCGATGCCTTAAACACTTCTTTTACCTAAATGTAGAGACAGAGATGCATTTAAGCTCTAGCTCCCAGCTATGCTAGGCTTTTTGCAGGCAGCCACACAACTCCAGTAGGTGTCTGTTGGTGCAGCCAACTACCAAGCCTGCATTTTACTTTAAATTTCTCTAGTCCTCAGCAGGGGTTTTCTCTTTAATCTGTGCCCTGAACTAGCTGAGGTGGATCCTGCCAGGGAGACTTGCCTTAGGCTGCTCTGGATTGGAAAACTGTGGGGTGCACTGAGCCTGCTGGGCCCCCAAACCTGTCTTACTTTAGGATGGGGATGAAGGGGAGGGAAGCCACACATGACAGGGCTTGACCCTGACCCCTGCATTGCTCAACATAAGGGAAGGGAGGCAGTGAGCACCCTTCACAAGGGACCACCTGGTACCTGGATGTATTTGCATCTCCACTTCTATTAAGTCTCAACACAGAGAAACTTCTGTACATCTGCAAACTCAAATTGCACATGTATCCCAAAAATCTAAGGTGAGCATGTAAAGGTTATTTTTAGAAGGGACTTTGACGGATGTGTAATGAACTATCATTTAGGAGCCAAATAGTATAGAAACAGTAAATATGATTAGGGCCGATGTTCTTAGACTAATTCTCTTAACTTGCCTGATAAGAACCCTGCAAACATGTTACAGACAGATTCCAGAGCCTCTGCAGGGGTGCTCTGGACTCTGGGGACACCCTGTATGAGGAGTCAGAGTAGGAGCAAACAGGCTAAGGGGGTTCTTCAGCTGTTCATCTGTGCCTCAGACTAAGAAGGGATGGTAGTCCCAAAGCAGGTCTCTGACAGCTGGAGTCTGCCAGGATGAAGTCCTAGGGTAGAAGGAAGCCCTTTGACAGCACATGCATTTTCCAAATGAAGTTGTTCTTATTGAAGTATCAACATGTCCTGTCTGACTGCTTGGCTACTGGGTGAATATTTGCTGTTTTTAGTTACCGCAAGCCATACACTTTCCCTCCCTCTCTACCCATCCCCCAGGCTCTGCGGAAATGGAGATTACCTTTTGCAGTAACTTCTGAGCCTTTTCTCCGGGTAATAAGCGTAAACCAGCTGTGGCCTTGAGGACTAATGGGGTATCCTTCCAGAAGTCAAAAGGAATGTCTTGTTTAGCAACATCCAGTAATTCCTGAATTCCTGGAGTGCTCTGTGAACAAGGGAAAAGTCAAGTGAGATTGGGCAAAGCACAGCAAGCAGGGCCACAGATTCTGCCCCCACCCTTTTGGTTTTACTAATTTACATTATTTCCTAACTTTCCAAATCAGCAGGAAAGTGATTCAAATGGTACAGGCAGTAGTGAGGGTATGGAGCAGGTGCACAAGGAGATAGACCACTGGCAGCTGAGTGTGGCAGGTGAGGGCACACTCCTGCCCTGGCAACCAGATCCACCTCCCAGTTCTACTGCCAAACCTCACCAGGTAACCTCAGGTGAGAGGACATTGCCCTGAATATCATGAGTGAATTCTGAGGTCCATCATAGCACTAAAACCTCATGAACAACTGCATTTATTACCTGCAAGAATGCTTAAGATTCAAAAGTTGGATATAGTCCTGTGACAGTGCATGGTTGGGGAAAGGAAGCAACTCTGACAAAGTATCACTGGGCATCTCAATAGGCACAATACCATGGGGACAGCAGAGATGTCTGTCCAAGGAGAAACATATATTCTTTTCACTAGCAAATCCCATTCTAAGAATTCACCCGCAAGCACAGCTTTGCATGTGTGGGTAAGGAAGTGCCTTTAAGGTGACGGATATTATCTTAATGGCCTTCAGAAGGGGGGCTGGATCTGTAAATTATTCAATGTACACCCATACAATGCATCCCACCAGGAAAATCAAGAATCTCTTCACATCTTGATAGCAAATGATTTCCAAATGATACTATTTAGCAACAAAAGTAAAGTGTGCAACAATGTGAAAGCCACTCTACCTATGTGTAAAATAGAGAACACAAGAGGCCTTTGCTCCTATACACAAAAACTCATTCTTGAAGGCTAGGTAAAAAACCAGGACACTGGTCTTCCTGGGAAGGTTGGAGAGGGAGGCGGATTTCTCAGTTCACCCCGGGGGTGAAGCTTGTCCCACTTGATTGTATGTTGCCTACTCAAACAATAAGATTTAAAATTCCTAACAGTTTATTCTAAGGATAGCTCTATTGATCAGGTCTAAATTTATGGTCAACGCAGGCTCACTAATTTTGATTTTTCCTTTCAATTTGTTTTTTAATCAAGCTACAGGAAAGCAAGGCTGTGACTACATTGAGCTCAGGATGCACATGTGGGCAAGAATCATGTATTTGCTTTGCGTTTTCTAATTGGAGTATAACTGACAAAACTGTTAGTTTCAGGTGTGTGTTAGCTTTCAATATAAGACATGCAGAACCAAAAGGAATTTAACTATATTGGTAAGTTTCATGAGTGCCTTAGTGGAAATAACAGCTGTCTGAATTAAGTGCAGCTGAAGCTTTAAGGACTTAAAAAGTATAAATGCTATAGAGTTACAAAAGTCATTATTTAACAGTTTAATTGAATTATTTTTATACTTGCTTTTTTTAGATTTTAATTTTTTTTTTTAGCCAATTTTTGTTGTCTTTAATCAGAGGAACTGAAACAGAAAAAATTAAACTTTCAAATAATGCTTTTTGTAAGTTTGTATTTTTGAATGGTGCCATGATTGTGGGTGACATGCACACTGGTTGGGGAGGGGTCTGAGAAGCTGGGGCTTGTGAGGGGAATGGTCTTTCTTCAGCCTGTAACAATTTCCTCCATCTGACCATCCTAAACAGCAGGAGAGCCCAGGTCAGCACCATCAGAGAGGCCCTGCTCTGTGAAGATGGCCTATGCATTCAAGAGAAAGGGCACTGGCTTTAATACGCTGCAGTTAGAAATTTGATGAATAAATAGACCTAAGAAAAGTCATTACCTTTTCAACATCATCAGCATAAGCAGAAAGACCTGGCTTCAGTGCTTTGAAGGTTTCATGGGTCAGGGTGGGCGTTTCTATAGGGAACACATATTTTAAAATAGGTAAACTATGAATGTACACAACCATGACTAGCCACACTTTTTAAAGGCAGACATCTGAACAAGAACAGCCCTAGAGTGACAGGAACCCATTACTGTCTAAATTTTAGTTCAGCTAAAGAAGCAGATTATACTATAATCTATTATACTTTATGTTTTGGTGAGAACTTTACCTTTAAAAAAAACAACTTTGAGGGCCCTCCCTGGTGGCGCAGTGGGTTAAAGCACAGCACTGAGAATCTGAAGCCACTTCCGCATGAGTTCAATTCCCGCCTGCCCCGGAGGTGACCACATGGCATGGCAGACCTCTCCTGACCCGCCCGCTGCTCCCCTCAGCAGTGTACTTCATAGATCTGCCTGTTCTGTTCCCCACTCTGTCTCTGGTGAAGCCTCTCACCGCCCCTGAGCCTCTGGCCTGTACCCCAGTTCTGTATGTGCAAATAAATAAATCTTTAAAAAAAAAAAAGTTAAAAAAAAAAACAACTTTGAGATATAGTTTACATATAAACTATATGTAACATGTTAAGTGAGCACACTTAACATGTTAATTTTAACATAGTTAATTCTTGCTGAGTCAACAGACAGAGGAGCACAGGAGAAGATTCCAAACTGCAAATATGAAAATAATTTCCTTGATTATATAAGGATATATTATAGGGTGCTAACGAATAGCTATCTTTTTTTTTTTTTAAGAAAGTATTGAGGGTTTTAAATTATTAGGAGCCTGACCACAGTGAGGGAGCAAGACAGCATGCTCAGAGGCAGTGACGGCTAAGGGGTGCAGCACAGAACAGACCCCAGGAAAGGTTATAGAGGAGGACAACGATGGAGAGGAAAGAAGCAGAACAAGGAGCCAAACTGACTGAGGGCTCCCACAGGAGGTGAAGATGCCCAACTCCCACCCTGCATCCTCCTGGAGCCCTGTGCTCCCAACTAGGAAGCAGAGCTGATGGGGTTCACCAGGTGCAAGCTCCCTCCTTATTACTAAGTTACCTCCCCCTTGCTGCCTGGTTCCACTGGCCAGCTCCAGATCAGTCTGCTTCTGGTTCTTTGCCAGAATTTTATCTGAGTTTCCTAGGTTCTGGCTCCCACTAACTTGAATGTGGGGTAACCTTGTGCCTTGAACTCTCCCAATGAGACCTTTGGTTTAAGTCATGATCCCAGTCATCTGAACTGCCAGTAAATGCTAGGCACCAGAAGCTACTGTGATAGGGCAAGCTGGAATGCATGGGAGATTTCAATTTCTGGCGCAAACCATATCCCGAGTCAGTATCTTTGGGAAACTGAATTTCTGATGAACTTCCAGGTGAGTCCAAGGCAGGGGTCCAGCCTGTACCCTGAGAAAACACTGTCCTTTAGGGGAAGTGACCCTGCGCACTCTGCTCTGAGGCATGGAGAATGAAGCAGTGCAGGGCAGGGCTTTCTGGCTGGGGTACCTCCAAGCTGCCGAGAGAACTGGAAGATGTGCACTCGGGTACCAGTGCTCCCCGCGTCAAACATGATACCATAGAAGACCTCATGGCCACGTGCAGCTGTCCCAGGAGGACTGTGGGTCTGTGGGGCCCTTCGGGCCCCTGTGGCTGCTTCAGTGATGCTGAAGAAGACCTGGGTGGCAGATGCCCAGTGCCACTTGATGTAGGCGACATAGATGAACAGGCAGACGAACAGCCCCAGAGGGTACGCCACCTTCGTCATCTTGAGGTTTCCATTATTTGGTATTTTTCTCATTTCTTTGTCTGTGGAGGCTGAGCCCCAGCTGCTGGTAGAAAGGGAGAGCAAGGGGAAAGAGATTAAGCAGTTAGGTTTGGGGCCATGTGAGAGACCCCTGTGTGCAAAACGTTCAACCCGAAAATGTCTGCATTCTCCCCCTGGAATCAGAAGATTCATTTTGTGGGTTCCTCTGGCCTGGCCACTCATGGGCAACTGTGACCTATTTGCTATCTACAGGTCACAGCAGAACATTCCTTGACCACCTCCTGAATAGAGCTTGTATCACAAGGCTGCTGTTGACCTGATTAAGTGACTCTTTCCATGCGGTCTTGGGATAACTCTGCCTGTGATAACTTCATACTTTGCTGACACAAATATCTCTTGACACATGGTTACAATGTCCCCTTCCTTTTCCCTTGTAAAACTTTGTCTCCCATTCCTATCCTACCCTCTGGACCCTATTGCTCATATCATTGTGATATGATTAACTTTTACTAGCCTGTATGATTGCAATAAATGGCAAAAGAACTTCTGCAGTCTTCCTTCCTGCTCCACGACTGTCGTTCTTGCTGCAAAGCAACAAAGTTCTTGTCCCAACATGTTTGCACCTCAAAATGATTCTGAAGGGGTGATTCCATTTTTACAGAAGAGGAACTGACATTTATAAAATTGTACAACCTGCCCCCAGATGTGGGCCCTGAAGGTGGTGACCTGCAGTACAGACTTCAACTTGTGCTTCTCCAGACAAATGGCTTTTGGACTTACTATTTTAAAAAGCCACATGGAGAAGTGTCTCCAAGCCTTTAGAGGTAATGAAACATTTATCTGATCCATTCTTACAATTCTCACATTTTCTACCATGTAGATAATTTACCTTTCAAAAGCTTGAAAATCTTATCCATGGGGAACTACAGAATATCCCATACAAGTCTGCTATAAATCACTCGTTTCCTTGGAAGTTCCACAACAAAGACTCTTTTCATTCACATGGCATTTTCTTGCCAAGGAGGAAATAATGCCGTGTGCTTTCAAAGCTTATAAAAATTCTACCTGAGTAGCAAAATAAATTAATTCAGCACCATTATTTTTGGTTCAATAAGCCCAAAATAAAGCATTAGTTCAAGTTTATTGGCAGCTTCTACTGCTAGGCACTGTGCGGGAACTGCAGGTTTTAAAGGACAAGTTGAGGGGGCTGATTCTCAGGACTCCCCCTGCCCTGGGGGGAGCACCCACCAGTCTACCCCCTACACAGTGAACACTTCTAGGGGAGAAGCCAGGAAACAATGTGATGAAAGGGTGACAGAAGTTCAGGCTCTGCCAAAGCAGGGCAGGACTGTGTAAGCCACCCCTTGAAGGGGGCACTCCCCTGTAGGGCAGGGCTGTGCACAGGGAAGCTGCTTCCTGATACTATTCAGCGATACACTAATGTGCATGATATGCTCAGAAGAGGACACAGACATTTTGGAATAAGGGGTAGTGATGGACAGGAGAGCTGCAGGTCAGTGTGACTGCAGTCTTGGGTGGGGGAAATGTGGGGCCAGAGCTAGAAGGTCAGGGACAACCCCATGGTGACCTCAATACTGTCTGGGAGGAGAAATAGAATGAAGTGGCTTTTTCACTTAAATCCCTCTAATATCAAACCCAGACAAAGACAATGTAAGAGAACAAGGATTAATATTCCTTAGGACTGTTGATGCAAAATTTCCTCAATAAATAAAAAAAAAAAAACCCTGAATTTGAGAATATAGTAAAAAGATTATACACCATGACCAAGTGGCATTTATTTCTGGAATGCAAGGATGCTTCAACACATGAGAAACCCATCTTGGTTTTCATGATCACATTAACAACATCTCAAACAATGTAGACAAATTTAACATAATGTTAAACAATATCTTTTCATAATAAAAATAATCAACAAACTAGGAATATAAGGAAACTACTTAAACTTAATAAAGGCCATATATGAAAAACCTTCACCTAAAATCACACTCATTGGTAAAGAGACTGAAATCTTTTACTCTTAGATCAGAACACAAAAGGATGCCTATTTGCACCACTTCTACACAACATAGTATTGGGTGTTCCAGTGAAATCAATTAGAAAAGAATGAAGTAAGTGGGATTCAAAGTGGGAAGGAAGAAGTAAAGTTATTTCTGTTTGTAGATGACAAGATCTTATATGTAGAAAACCCTAAAGATTCCATGGAGGTGCAGGGTGAGGGAATAACCATTAGAATAAATAATTTCAGTAAGGTTTTAGGAATATCAACATCTTTTGTTACAAGTCTAGTTAACAAAGGAGATGAATGACCCCATCAATACAAAATGCTGCTGAAAGAAATTAAGTCAAAAAAGTAAAAGACACCTTTACTTTTGAAAACTTAATATCGTTAAGATATCAAAACCATCCAAAGTGATCCAAAGATCCATTGTATTTGCTATCAAAGTCCCAAGCATGCTTAGAGCAGAAATGGAAAAAAATTCCTAAAATTCATAAAGACACTTAAGGGGTTCCTAAATGATTTTGAAAGAAAATAACAAAGTCAGAGGTTTCATTGCCCCTGATTTCAAAATGCATTACAAAGCTATAGTATTATTATAGCTACCATTTACCATTTATAGTATTATTATAGCTGCCAATTACTACCATTATAGTATTATGGTAGTGGTATACGGATGGACACACAGGCCAGTGGTACATAACACAGTCCCCAAACAAACCTTCATTCATATGGGCAAATGGTATTTGACAAGGGGGCAAGATGATTCACTGGGGAAAAGAGAGTTTCTGACAAATAGTAATGGAAAACTGGATACTAAACAACAAAACATATTAAAAAATAAAGTTGGATCTTTATCTTATACCATATACACATTAAAGACCTAAATGTACAATCTAAAGCTCCTAGAAGAAAAGCTTCATGACATTGAGTTTGGCAGTGATCTCTGTAAAAAGCACAGGTAACAATTAAAATAAAAGACCAATGGATCCACATCAAAATTAAAAACCTCTGTGCATCAAAAGATACTGCAACAGGAAACAGGCAAGCCAGAGAGTGGGAAAAAATATGTGCAAATCACATATCTAATGAGATAATATTGACTGTATGGAGAACTCCTAAAACTAAAAAAACCAACAATCTGGTCCAAAAATGGCCAAAGAACTTGGACAGACATCCCTCCAAAGAGTGGTCAACAGGTGTATGGAAAGGTGCTCAACAGTTCTAATCATTACAGCACACACAACTAAACTGTTCTGATTTCAAACTCATTAGGTCCAGTATTCCTTACAAACAGTAACAACAACAAAAACACCCCACAAAATAACAAGTGTTGGAAAGGATGTGAAGAAATAGGAACCTGGGCCCTCCCTGGTGATGCAGTGGGTTGAAGCACAGCACTTCAGCATGAGTTTCATCCCCACCTGGGAGGTGACCCACATGGTGCAGCAGGCCTCTCCTAACCCACCCGCTGCTCCCCTCAGCAGTGTACTTGTCAGCCAGCCGGTTCTGCTCCTCACTCTGTCTCTGATGAATCCTCTCACCGCCCCTCCCCCTACACCTCTGTCCTGTACCCCAGTTATATATGCAAAAATAAATAAATCTTAAAAAAAAAAAAGAAATCAGAACCCTTATATAATAATTCCAAAATGGTGCAATGGAGAACAGTATGGATATTTCTCAAAAACCTAAAAATAGAATAATCATCTGATTCAGCAATCTTATTTCTAGGTAGGTGTATGAAAGAATTGAAAGGGGCTCCTGAAGAGGTCTTTGGACACCCAGAGCCAAGAGGTAAAAATAGCCCAAATGTCATCAACAAATTAATGGATAAAGACAACGGGTGGTGTCCCATGTTTATTGTTGCTTTATTTACAATTGGAAAGACATGGAATCAACCCAAATGCCCAAAAGTAGATGACTGGATGAAAAAGATATGGTACATATACACAATGGAACATTACTCAACAACCAAAAAAGATAAACACATGCCTTTTGCAGCAACATGGATGGAGCTAGGAGGGATCATGCTTAGTGAAATAAGCCAGAAAGAAAAGGAAAAATACTGGATGGTTTCACTCAGAGCAGGAGTATAACAGACCAGGGGAGAAAAAAAATAATAATAAAAAACAATATATACCAGAGCCATTTTATGGGGATAGAGTAGGGAGTGGGATAAAAAGTGGGGGGTGGGAGTTACACTGGACTATGGTGATGACACACAGGTGATGGGAAGCCCAAGGGGATTACAACTGAGATGAAAAAAGGCACAAAATGATATAAAAATAAACTATTATATTATTAGAAATATTAAAAAATAAACTATTACATTATTAAAAAAAAAAGAAAAGGCAGGGTGTAAATACACACACATACAATGTAATATGATTTAGCCTTAAAAAAGAAGGAAACTGACATACACTACAACATAGATGAACCTTGTTATGCCAAGTGGATAAGCCAGTCACAAATATTCCACTTATATGAGGTAGCTGTAATAGTTAATTCACAGAAAGAAAGTAGAATGGTTCCATGGCTGGGGGAGAGCAAGGACAAAAAGTTTGTCTCTTTGTACAGAGTTTAAAAGATTCAGTACTGAAGATGGGTTCTCAACAATGTGAATCTGGGGCCTCCCTGGCACAAGGGGTTAAGATGCAACTCTATGAAGCTATCGGCAACCACTGCACCATGAGTTTGACCCCCAGCCAGGGAGCTGACCCACATGGCCCAGCAGACCTCTCCTGTCCTGCTTGCTGCTCTCCTCAGTATTGCTTTTCTGTACATCTGCCTATTCTGCTCCCCACTCTGTCTCTGGTAAATCCTCTCAAATGCCCCCACCTCTGGCCTGCACCCAGCTCTTGTATGCATAAATAAATAAATCTTAAAAAGAAAAAAAAAAAACCAATGTGAATCTACTTAATGTTACTGAACTGTACACTTAAAATGGTTTAAATGATACAAAAATTTATAGTATGCCTAGTTTAAGAGAATAAAGAATATTTTTCAACGGCTCTGAGACTATGCTGGTAACATGAGTTTTGTGGGCATGGAAGCACTGGTGTGAGGAAAATGAAAAGGCCCACCTGTTACATCAAATTCAAACCATTTAATATATATATATATATATATATATATATATATTTTTTATTAATATTTTTTATTACAAAGTTTATTTTTACATCATTTTGCACATTTTTTTTTTTTTTTACATCTCGATTGTAATCCCCGCGGGTTTCCCATCACCAAATCACCCCTGTGCCACCACCATAGTCTCGTGCATTTCCCTCCCTTCCCGCACCCCCCCATTTTTGATCCATTCCCCACTCCACCCCCACAGAATGTCTCTGGTATATGGTTGTTCATTATTAAATTCAAACCATTTTAAAGATACAACTCTCTTTCACCCTCTCAAAGGGGACAGGTAATGACTAATTGAGACTTCTGCCTTAAATTATCTGTTTTTATTTGTTTAGCATTCTATTCCTTTGGTCCTTTAAAATCTACCTAAGACGCTTACTGCTGCTCTGAGCTCTGCACTTAGAGGCTCCAACCACAGGCTCTTGGTGCTGTGCGCACTTCCACTCCCTGAGTTAAGCTGCATGTGGAATTAATTTTTTTGTGCATTTCTTCCCTCTGGTTAGATAGCGCCTCTGAGGGATCAGGAACCAGGCCTCTCTCCATCAGTCTCCCAGTCACGTTATAAGACAAGAGCCCAGCAGCTGCTCAGCTAACACTCACTGGCGGCCAGCTGATAACTTAGTGATTCAGGCAGTCACAAAAAGATGGGGTACTGATGCTATCCAGGACTGAGTGAGGGCCACCAACAGAAGTGGGCCATTCGGGAAGAGGGTCTGCCAAAGCAGGAGGCAGTGACCAAGATTTCTACATGCCAAGCTTGAAATGACAGCAGGCCATCAGTCACAAACTGATGAGAGATGACACATTTGGAGTTAGGGTCTGGGGGATTATTTGCATTAAGGGGATATTAACTGAGATCAGGAATGAAGAAATCAATGACAGAAAAGATGCAGGGACGGGGCAGAGGCTGAGCCGCTCCTGAAGAATGCCTGTCCTGGGCAGCCAGCTCTCAGCTGAAACTGGCCCTCTCATAGGTCTCTTCTCACTAGGTTTACTGCGTCCCAGTTTCCTATCACTAAGTGATCATTAAATACAAAGAGTTATTTATAGAGAAAGCTGTAAAACAAGGATAAATACCGAGGATACAAAAGCAATACTAAAGTCTTACAACTGTGGAAGTGTTTTAAAAAATCCTCATATAATCAGGCTTTATTATATTCTATGTTAGTCTAAGAACTGTGATCTAAAGGTTAGATTAACAGGTGGTATGTTAAATTTCTGGATAAAGACTGCTCTTTATTGACTCTGCCTACCAATTAAAAAAATATCCTTTAACATAAACTAATCCTGTTATTAAGATGCCCACAGGCTGGACCTTAGACCACTGGAGAGATGATGATTTTTTTCCCCTATGACAGCACCAAGGGCTAGGAAAGTCTGAAAATGGACTTGCCTGGGGTCATACAGTTGGCACCTGCTGAGGCACAGATGAGTGTTTCTGGCTTCTGTCTCTAAATCAAATGCACTTCTTCACTTGCCTTGCTCTATTAATAGACTCTATTTTAGATGACCAAAAAACACCCTCAGAGAATTACAAACACATAATCACTAAATCCATGCTAGTCAGTTCATCAGGACAGTCCACTGACAACATGAAATTGAGGGAGGACAGAGTCAGGAATAGCTTGGAACACAGACACCTCTATGTTCCTGAGACCCAAAACTGAACTCCATTAATTAAGGTGTCCTTCCAGAGTTGAGACACCTGCAAGAGGGACAGATCACATTTTGTACCACAAGTGTGTGAATCAAGTCCTTCCTTCCAGGAGTTCACCAAGGAAAACAATTCAATTTTAGTCTTGCTCTGTAAAGGAGAGTCTAGAACAAGGCTGCAAGGAAGATAAGCTAGGTGAGTAGGGCAGGTGGGGCCGGATGTAGGGTGAACAAGGGCAAACATAGGTTCGGCTGAGCAAACCTTGCTACCAGCTGGCTCCTGCCAGGGGCCACCTTCCTCAGATGGAGAGAGGAGTCAGAGAAGAGAGCTGGGAATGGAGCAGTAGTGTAGAGGTTGGTGCCTGCCTCAGCCCTGGCTAGCATTCTAGAACAAGGAACAGCAGTGCAGCTCTTAAGAGATTACAGACTCTATCTGATTGGGACAGGAGACTGCTGCTTTTCAGACAGTTTCTTCAAGGCTTTCAAAGTATATGAGAGTCACATGTGCAAAAGACTGCCACATGTGTTTAAAAGCTGTTAAAAACCTACGCTACTAGCAAAGCACTGCTTGTTCTCCTGGTGGGCTAGAAGAGAAGGACTTTTCCTTCTCTTTCTGAAAAAACCTAATAGCCAATCAGCCCTGTCAATACCACCTGTTGTTTCTTTTTCACAGGCTGAAGTGAGAGGGAAGCTTTTCCAGACTCCTTTATGTCCTTGTCCATTTCTTGGTTTTTTTCACAGGAGGTTGCACGAAAAAGGTGCCCCACACATGCCATATTAACCAACTGATGCTTCTGAAGACAGGAGTAGGGGGACAAAAACCAGTTTCTGGGTTTATACCATTAGGCTTGCAGACTTTTCATGAACCTTCTTAACACACTGGTAACACCAACAGCTGGAAAACTTCCAAACCAATCCTAATCCCACCACCCTTTCAGAAAGGGTCAGAGAACAAGGTTACCTACTTCTAGAAGTTTCAGATTCTGTCACTGGGGGCCTATGGGCTAGGACCTCCTTGCATCCTGAAGGATGTAAGTTGAATATATATAATATTGAATACAGGCAGTGGAAGGGCACCTGGAAGCTCTCAATCACTTCCCAGTGACCGATGCCTTTGGATACTGACTCAGGATAGTGTACTATGGTCACCATATTTACAGAACCATTCAGGTTCTGTCCAACCACTATAACCATTCTGTGACTTCCAGCAGCACTTAAAATATAAATCACTCTTCCTTCCATGGTCTCCTGCCCATTTCTCTGGCTGTTCAATGTTCTCCAGTGTGGTGTTCAGCTCTGTCCACCACAGGGCCTCCCTCTCCTGTAGCCAGGAGAGCTTGTGGTTCACTAGTCAGCTCTGGCAGCATATCCAGACCACCCCACAAGCTTTTCTCCTGGTCATCACCCCAGTGTCAGTTAACTGTCCTCACACTTTCAGTTACTATCTGAACATGTTTCTTGGGCTCTGTAACTGGACTGTGCGGCTGGGGGGAGGGGCCTGCCTGGAAGACAGATCCCCAAATTGGCTGAATGAATGGATGCTATAGGAAGAGACCCCTGCTCTCTGACCTACCCAGCTGCTACAACAAGGAACATGTTTCTCACAGCCAGTCAGGGGGTCAGGAAGCAGCAGGAAGAAAGAATGGATCAAGTGACCCTGAGACCACCCCTGGGTTCTGTCGCTGGAGAAGACAGAGCTGCCACGCGAGTCTGCGCTCAGAGGACATCTACTCTCCCCCACCCCTGGTCCCTCCTCAAGGGCACAGCCCACCGTTAAGTGGGAGGCCCACGTGCAGCCAGTTCTACCAGACCCGGCTGACCCCGCGTCGGTCAGCACGCGACCCCTGCTTACCTCGCAAGGCCCCCCTCTCCCTCCCACGTTGGAAGGTGTAGTTCCCCGGGAGCGGGCCGGTGAGCGACCAAAGCTGCTTTTCCCTTCTCGCGATGCCCAGGCTCCCGCCGGGTTCACGGCAGCCTCCACCCGGAAAGCAGGCCCACGGATCCCGGGAGCCTGGGCACCGCCCACGTGCACGTCAAGACCCTGGCCGGGCGCGGCGTCGCTAGTTTTCTGCGCAGGCGCGGAATCGCGGCGGGCATCGCGGGCCTACTGCGCAGGCGCAACGGCACCTTCCAGCTGTCAGCGTTGGCCCCGCCTCAGCTTCACCGCAGGTTTGGGCCCCCAGCGCCCCAGAATAGCCCTCGCCAGTCACTCAGCTTCTGGTCCAGTTTATCAGCGTTCCTTACAGCGCGGCGCACTGACTCTCATTGTGGCTGGCCGAGGAGTTACTACCACCACAATGCACAACTTTGACCTTATCTAATCTGTGGAATTAAACTTTCCTTGGGTACCTCCTCATTTAAGTCTACATTAAAAAAAAATTTTTTTTAATAATAGCTTATTTTTACATATTTTTGTGCATTTTCCCATCTCGGTTGCAATCCCCTTGGATTTCCCATCACTAAATCACCCATGTGCCATCACCATAGTCCAGTGCATTTCCCTCCCCACACTGTTTTTGACCCCATTCCCCACTCCACCTAAGTCTACAATTTTTTTTTAAAGATTTATTTATTTGTGCATACAGAACTGGGGTACAGGCCAGAGGCTCAGGGGCGGTGAGAGGCTTCACCAAAGACAGAGTGGGGAGCAGAACAGGCAGATCGACGAAGTACACTGCTGAGGGGAGCAGCGGGCGGGCCAGGAGAGGTCTGCCGCGCCATGTGGTCACCTCCGGGGCAGGCGGGAATCGAACTCATGCGGACGCGACTTTAGATTCTCAGTGCTGTGCTTTAACCCGCTGCGCCACCAGGGAGGGCCAGTCTACAATTTTTTAAGGCAATACATTATAGAAAGAACAGGCAGTGCTACCAAATCTCTTATCCTTGACCACCATTTTCTTATTTTTTCATAAAAGCCATCAAGGTTTCCTGCTCCTGACTTGGAGAGTGCTTAACATAGGGCCCCATGTTTACCTAAGGATCTTGAGGGTAGGAGCTGCCCCTAAATTAATCTCTTTCCCACCAGAGCCAGAACCCCCTTCCCAGTTTCCCTTGCTGTTGGGCTGCTCGTTTAACAGCATCTGGTCAATGAGGTGTGGATGTGCCCCTTATAGGGAAAAACGTCCTCCACTGGAGGCTGGGGAGAGCCAGCTATAGATTCCTCAACTACGGCCTTGACGTTATCACCAAGACGTTGATGTTTCTGGGAGTGAATAGCTGCTAGCCAGATGGACTGTCCAGATGCTTGTATTGGGACTGGGCCACCCTGTGGCCTTCAGTGCTCCTGGGATTCTACCTTCCTTTACCAGATGAAACCAGTGAGGTCTGGTTTGTTCTAGTTTGCAGTGGTGCAGGACTCTGAGGACCATCTCTGTGTGTTTGTGTATGCATGCAGGTATATCCCTAGGAAAAGTTCTTAGAAGAGAGATTGCTATGGTAAAAGATATCTCCCCCACCTTAAAAAAGATTCAATACTTATGCTAAACTGCTTCTTAGGTATTGTATAACTTACATGCCTACAACAATATACAGGAGTGTGGGTTTCCTGCCTTTTCATGAGTGGAGTCTTGTCAGACCTGTGGATCTTGCCATTCCAAATGTTAAAAACTTCTACTTTGTATAATTTTAATTTACATTTGTTCTAATATTTTGAAATTTCTGTTCTTGGAATTGTTAGGAGGCCCCACTGTCTACATCAACCTACAACATCTCTTACACCATACTTATGGAATTTGTCTGTATTGCTGTCATAGGCTTTGCTTATGCTATTCCATTCACTGGTTGGAAAGCTCTTCCTTAGTAAGTTGTTGTGGTCTGAATGTTGTGTCTCCTATAAATTCGTAAATTCAAGTCCTAATCCTCAAGTTGAGGCATTAGGCCTCTGGGAGAGGAATGAAACTTGTGCCCTTATAAAAAGAGGCTCCAGAGTAATCCCTTGTCCCTTCTGTCATGTGAGGTTACAATGAGAAGACAGTTTTTTGAAGAAGGCAGCTCTTACCAGATACAATCTGTTGGTGCTTGGCCAGATCTTGGACGTCCCAGTGTCCAGAACAGTAAGAAATAAGTATCCATAAACTACCCAGTTTATGGTATTTTTGTTTTAGCAGCCCCAACAGACTGAGACACATATTCTTTTTCCTTAAAGATTCAGCTCAAATGTTACCTCTGTAAACCATTTTATATAGACTAGCCTACCCAGACCTATTTTTTCACTATTTATGTTATTTCCTTCATAGCACTTAATCACACCATTCATTATTGGTATGTTATTTTTAAAACTGAGGTAACATTATTTTATAACATGTTCCAAGTGTACAACATTATGATTTGGCATCTCTATACCCTACAAAGGGATTACAACCCAGAGTCTGTTTCCATCCGTCACCACCTAGTTGTCCTCTTTACCATTTTTGCACCTCCCAATTCCTTGTTCTTCTGGTCACCACCAATCTATATCTAAGAGTTTGTTTTGTTTTAGGTTTTTTTTTTTAATACTCCACATTGGCTCTGCATTTACCTTTCTCTGTCTGATTTATTTCATTTAACATAATATACTCAAGGTGGATTCATGTTGTCTAAATGGCAAAGTTTCATTCTTTTTTTTTTGACTGAGCAATATATCATTGTATATATACACCTCATCTTCTTTATCCATTCATCTGTTTGGGGCAATTATGTTGTCTCTCTATGTTGGCAATGATAAATAATGCTGTAATTAACATAATGGTGCCCATATTGAATTAGTGTTTTCATATCTGTATAAATATCTAATAAGTGGAGTTGTTGGATGATGTGGTTGTTCTGTTTTTAATTTAAGGAGCTTTGTACTATTTTCACAGTGGCTGCTGCACCAATTTACATTTACACCAACAGTGCATAAATGTACCCCCACGTGTTGCTAAAGAGTATTTCTTGTCCTTTTTCCTTTTGATAATAGTGCTCCTCACAGTGATATCTCCTTGTAGTTTTGATTTGCATCAATATAATTGATGATGAATATCTTTTCTTGTGCCTGTTGGCCAGCTTTATGTCTCTGGAGCAGTGTCCATTCAGATCCCCTGCCTAATTTTTAAATTGAGTCATTTGTTTTTTTGTTGCAGAGCTTTATGAGTTCTTTACATATTTGGACTATTAATTCTTTGTCACATATATTCGCGAGTTATGAATATCTTCTTTTAGTAGGTTTTCATTTGTTGTTGTGGTTGATCTTCTGTTTCAACCTTCTAATCTGGTGTGTATTTTGAATTTCCTATTCCTTGCATATTTGATGGCTATGCCTGTTGTTTGTGTGAAATGTTTTTAAACTGTTGATTTCATTTCTAGCCCATTTCACCTAAGTTTTAAATTTTATTGGCATATTTTTTCTGTATTCTTAGCATTTGTAATTACAGCCTCCCTTTTACATATAAGAGTTTATGTGTACCCTCTCTTTTTTCTTGATCAACTTTCCCAGAAATTTTCAACATTTATTATTCCCCTCCCAAGAACTGACTGATTTTGTTGAACAAGGTGTTATGTAAATTAGGATGAAGTTAACGACCTGCATAGGTTTGAAGCATATAGAAGACAATTGTTCCCCACATACTGACCTGAGTCAGGACTCTGCTCCATGTAGTCAGTCATCCTAAGGCTGAGGTTCATGGGGCTCTTGATTTCTTAATATTTTCTGTTCAAAGCTATTCTCAGTGGAGTCTAAACTCTAAGGGAGCACAAATTTGTCTGGTTTCTTTACCTTTGTTCCTTCAGATAGTGCCTAGCATATAGAAAACATGTAATATGTAACTAAATATACAAATCAATGAATGAAGGCAACTTCCTACTGAACAAATACTACCAAATTTAATAAACAGATTTTTCATTTTAAATTCTTACTTAATATTTTCAATTATTTATGTTTTATGGCTCAAAATTTAAAATATACAAAATAATATATAGTAATAATTTCCCTAGCCACCCAATTCATAATTTTGGAGGCAACTGATGTTTAACAACTTTGTATTCTCCAGAGGTATTTCGCATATACATAAGCATATGTGCATATGTGTAGACTGATTCCTAATATGGTGTTCAATCTTTAAATAAAAAGGCTCAGCCTCATACTTATTTATTCCGTTTGGTGTTAGTTTGTTGAGGGAACACTAGGTGGCAGTATACTATCAGAAACTGGAGGTGGAGGTGGCACAGGTCTTTCCAAAAATTCTGTTCTCAGGCTTAATGGGTCTCTTGAACTCTCATGGCCATCTGTGTCTGTGTTTGTGTGTCTATAAATGCCTACCAATTTTAATAAATTCATAGGCACTTGGATGAACTTAAAACCTAATATAAGACTGAACTATAGGATCTGACAGGGTATTCAGTTGTATTTAGTTTACTGAGGAAAACAAAATTTGAAAGCGGTTCCCAATCCAGATTCCCCATCCAATTTAGATCATTCATTGGTAGACACTTCATCTGTCAAAACTGTTAGCTCTATGTGCTTTAAATGGAAGCACTCCATGCTTTATATTTTCCCTCCCTTGAAAAAATTTTGGGTTTCTTTTCCCACATATGCTTCCTGCCCCAAACCTATGCCACCCAATCCTCTTCTTCCCTCTTGTCAATTCTTTACTCATTTATAGTATTTCCTTCTATTGATGTCCAGGGATAGGGAAACATAGCTGTGTAGCTATTCCCTTCATTGAAACTCCCTCCTCCCATTAAAGACTGTATACTATATGCATTGTTCTATATGCATTTTCCACTAACAATGTACACTGGAGATAATTCCTTATCAAGATATACTTAGAGAACACATTTTTAAAAGCTCTGAAAAAATTGACCTATAATTAACCTGGCATGTGGTGAAATGCACAAATCTTCCATGGAGGGCTTGACAATGTTCTGCAGACTGTGGGGGCACCAGTCCCTCATAGACTCCAACTCCCTGTGGTTTCCTCGCTGTTCAACTCCATCCATGTAACCACAACTTACTGACAAGGACAGGTACTCTATTGCACCAGTGCCAGTGTTT